ATCTTCTAAAATGAAGTAGTATAATTAGAATCTTTTAGGTTTAATATTAAGATCTTTGAAGAATTTGTTGGCATGAAAGTGAGCGATACTTGGATACACTGGTATGTTAACAAAACCTATTTTATACAAGTTTATTTTTCTTGAATGTTCTTGATATTATATCATTAATTTTTTTTTTTTTTGCGTTTAAATTCATATAGCAAGCGGAAATCTCAGAACGTACGGTTAATCAAATGTTCTTTGGTTTTGAAAAGGATGCTGCTAAAGGTTCAAATCAAAGACATGCTAAAGATAATGCCAAAGATAACAAGAACACAGTCAAACGTAAAGATAATAAATCGACACCCAAAGTTTCACAAAGCCGATCAGTCTCTCCGACTTCATCCGTAAACGATGAGTCATATAATAGTCAATCAATGCCACATACTTTTAATAGCGGAACCCGGACGCGTAATAGCCAAAAACTTACTTCTGGTAGTTCAGTAACACCCTCAAATAGTGAAAATACACCTAACCTATCAAGAAGAAATAGTAAGGCCATAAGTCGTTCCGTTTCTCCTGCATTATCTGCTGCTTCGTCACGTGCAACATCACCAGAGAGACTAAACGGAAAGCTAAATCGAAAGCGCAGCACAAATAACTTAAGCTTGACGCCACCATTAAGTCCAACTTATCGAGTGAGCTCTGATACTTCAACTCTTTATCCTGGAACTACTGCTCAAAAGACAAATAAATCTAATAATAAAAATTCGACCGTTTCTACCAGAAAGACAAATAAATCTAACGATGATAAAAATTTGACTGCTTCTCGTCGGTCATCCGTCCTTCTCGGCAAGAGTAGCACTATATCAAGACGTAGTAATAGTGTTTCTAGTACATCAAGTGAATCTTCATCGGTTTCGTCCGTTATTGCACCTTCTACACCAACCACTCTTGCACCATCTTCAAATTCAGCTTACGTTGTTAATGGACACTTGGGTGTGCCCATTATATCTTCAAAAACTAAAACACAAAAAGAAACTGATAAAAACATGATGATTAAAATAAAAGTAGATAATGAAAATAAAACAAATAATGTATCTTCATTAATACCAACCAAAGCTACAACACTTAATGCTACGCCAATTGCAAGAAAAAAAAGTAGGGAAATGTCAAAGGCTAGACCTAAGAGTGTTGTTGGCCAGTGATTTTTAATTTTTTAATTTTTTTTTTTTTTTTAATTAAAAAAAAATTCTATGTACCTAATTAATGGTTTTCATTACATAATTAATATATTTTTAATATTTTAATTAGATAGAAATTTGCTTTCTTTTTTTTTGTAATTTGCGTTTTTATTGTTTGGACATTTTAGAATAGAAAGTCAAAAAAATAAAGAGTTTCTATACATCAATTTTAGTATATACGTAGTATATGTGTTTCATAGCTATAAAAAGAACGATTTATTTAACTTTAATAACAGTTAATACAGGTTTAAATATTAATAAGTAATGTACAACTAGTAATACTGTAATATGACTGTTAGAGAGATTTCAATTATTATTATTATTATTTTCTTTTTTTAAACAAAAAAAAAAAAAAGGCAATATTATCTTATTTATTATACAAATTACTAGCTCTATTTAATTGATTTTTTAATTTTTTAACTTCACCGGTAAATCCACTCCATATTTTTGTTCCATAATTCTTAATTTCCTTAGCACCAATTCCACCACCAATTCCACCACCATTTCCACCAATATTTTGAGAATCATCACCTTCATTAATATCAAAACTTTCATCACTTAATTTTGGAACATTCTCTAATAAACATTTCATAATTTCAACGCGTCTATACTTTGCAGCAAAAACTAGAGCGTTTGGAAAATTAGAATCTTTTGGTATAGCATCAGCACCATAATTAATTAACATTTTCACATATACCGGATCATCACATAATATTATAGTAGCAAATAAAATATTTGGTAATTTTTGTTGTTGATATAAATGAGAAAAATTTTTTAAATCATTTTTTTATTCTTATCTTTTAAACTTATTTCTCAAGTATTTCTTTTTTTCTATTTTTCACCAATTTACCTATTTCTTTTTTTTTTATTTTTTTTTTTTTTTTTCCAATCA